TCCGATCAAAAGGTCAAACAATTCTTTGTAGCCCGAAGCAGCTAATCAAAACGAAACGGGATAGTGGCAGAAGCAGACACTTTCAGCAAGGATGCCACAAACTAACCGCCACATTTTCAAACTGACAAAATTCTCTTTGTTTTAAGCAGGGGCAAGAAATCTTTTTCGCTTTGCCAGGAAATCCCCATGAGGAAAGCATGTTCCAGATAAGTTCAGTCTTAAGTTTTCAGGACCCTCCTGGATAATGGGATCTAGTTTTAAGTTTTCAGGACCCTCCTGGATAATGGGATGCAACTAACAATCAATGAATGTTCCTGGTACAAACTGGGGCAGAAAATTTTCTCTGTTTTGTCTGTGTTGTTGTGATAGCAGGCGCCCACCTGGAGAACGAGGGAATTTATTTCAAGTCTTAAGTCATCAGACGCCCACCTAGAGAACGAAGGAATTCATTTTAGCTTTAAGTCAAAATTGGGCGCCCACCTGGAGAACGAGAAAATTTATTTCAAGTTTTAAGTCAACATCAGGCGCCCACCGAGAGAACGAGGGAATTCATTTCAAGTGTTAAGTCAACATCAGGCGCCCACCTGAAAAATGAGGGAATTCATTTCAAGTTTTTAAAGTCAGCAGGTGCCCACCTGGAGAATGAGGGAATTTATTTCAAGTTTTAAGTCAACATCAGGCGCCCACCTGAAAAATGAGGGAATTCATTTCAAGTTTTTAAAGTCAGCAGGTGCCCACCTGGAGAATGAGGGAATTTATTTCAAGTTTTAAGTCAACATCAGGCGCCCACCTGAAAAATGAGGGAATTCATTTCAAGTTTTTAAAGTCAGCAGGTGCCCACCTGGAGAATGAGGGAATTTATTTCAAGTTTTAAGTCATTAGGCGCCCACCTGGAGAACGAGGGAATTTATTTCAAGTGTTAAGTCAACATCAGGCACACACCTGAAAAACGAGGGAATTCATTTCAAGTTTTTAAGTTAGCAGGCGCCCACCTGGAGAACGAGGGAATTTATTTCAAGTTTTAAGTCATCAGGTGCCCACCTGGAGAATGAGGGAATTTATTTCAAGTTT